AGTCCAAGAACATCTGGAGGCCCAAGGTTGGGGACCACTGCCCTAGAGGGCGCAAGAGAGACCCTCCAGACAGAACCTGTTACCTTCAGTTTGGCTGCTTCTTTCGGGTTCCCAGCAAAAAACGAATTTTCGTCAAAGTGCAAAGGGAAAGATCTAAAGGCAAAAGGAGAAAAATGCCAATCAACCTAAGAGTCCTCTGCTGAAATTCTGTTTGCAAGCAGGTGGGGAGAGAAAACAAGGTCGCCGAATGAACAGCGGATTGTAAAGTAGATTGCTGAGAGGACTCCGCTCCAGGAAAGCGTAAAAGTCCTCAGAAATCTTCTAAAAGCCTGTAGACTTTTATTTAGGCCTGCGCTGTGTAATTTCCACGAGCACTTTTATGGGATGTTGAGACAAATGCCACATTGACATTGGTTACTAAAGAAAGATCTTGTATTTTGAGATACGAATCCTTGTCAACAACCATATTTGGCAGCCTTCCCAAGAAAGCAGGGTGACCAAGCAGTAAGAAAATTAAAAACTGAACAGAGTCTTGGATTTTTTTAATCTGGTTTAGAACCCCAAATAAGAATCTGTACAGGCAATCATCAAGATCAGAACTGGCCTCGCCCCTTTACAGTTCTCGCCGACCACAGAGATGGGAGACCAGGTATTTTATTTTGATTTCTTTCAATAATAATACAAATTGCAACCACTTAGAACGGCAGAGCTGGAAGGGGTCCGATAGATCATCCAGTCCAGCCCCTGTCAAGGAGGCACAGGGGCAGAATCGAACTCCAACCTCTGGCTCTGGATTGAGAGGGCTAAACCCCAGAACTACACAATCCTTTGAAATCGCTTGTCCACTAGATCATGGCACAACCAGCTTAGCAACAGGACCTAGCAATACCGTTTAGCCTTTGGAAACTTCCTTTTGAAGCCAGTTTGCTTGGCGTGCGGGCCACTTGCTTTCCACAGATCAGAAAGAGTGTCTGAACAGACGGGTTGAATGGATGGAGAGGGTAACAGATGCTAGAAATGGCTATGCCCCAGTAATCCATTTTTTGCACATATAAAAGCTGATTTGTCTTTCCCCAACATAACTTTTCCCAACTTGGTGTTCCCCCAACATACACGAGCCAAAGGCCATTTTAGCTGCGGCAGATGAGAGTTCAAGTCTCACACCTAACATTAAACAAATTAAACAAATGGCTCATTGGCCCTTTGCAGGGTGATGGTTTCCACCCCAAAAGCCCCCAAAAATGAGTGACTGCCCTTCCAGCCTTCCATCGGCTGGCACTTACTTGGTTAAATGGAGGATTTCCAAAAGGAGACTCTTGGTTTCTGTGTCTCGACTTTTGTGCCCCGTAAACAACTGGAAATCGGGGCGGTCAAAGAAAGGCAGGATTTTGGAAAGGGCCCGTAACTCGATCAGGTAGATGAAGTACAGGTTCTTGAGCCGCCGGGGGCCCTCGCCTTGGGTCAAGACTTCGTCAAAGCGCCGCTGGAATTCTGTCACGTTGGGGCCCCACTGCTTCTCGGCCCAGGTGTCTTGGGAGAGAAAAGGAAAACTGTGGACGAGGGTCCCAGCGAACCATCCAGGACAGCAGTTGTGCCGAACTGCTCAGCCGAGAAACTGGGAAAGTCAAGCTGAGGGATTCTCAGAACTGTTCAAAGCTTAGCTTGATTTTCTGCATTCATTCATTCATTCATTCCTCACCTTTCTCCTTAAAAAGGACCCAAGGCGGTGTACATCGTTAAAAAGGCAATATATAAAGCTAAAAACAGTAAGTATGCAAATACTAAAAAAAAATAAATCAAATTTCACACTAAAAATCCATAAACAAAAGCAACACAAAAAACTCATTTAAAAGCAACAAGAACATGCCATTTAAAAACCTCACTCAAGCAGCCAGTCATGAAGGGAAGAGAAAAGTCTTGGCCTGCTTGGGGAAGGACGGCCAAGATTGGGCAAGCCTGGCCTCCAGTGGGAGGGAGTAAAAAAAAATCAAATCTCACACTAAAAATCCACAAACAAAAGCAACACCAAAAACTCATTTAAAAGCAACAAGGCAGAACACACCATTTAAAAACCTCACCCAAACAGCCAGTCATGAAGGGAAGAGAAAGGTCTTTGCCTGCTTGGGGAAGGACAGCAAAGATTGGGCCAGCCTGGCTTCCAGTGGGAGGGAGTTCCAAAGTCTGGGATAACTGACAGAGAAGGCCCTCTCTTTATAGGTTAGAACCAGCACCTTGATTCGTACCCAGAAATATAGATCAAAGCCAGTCTGCGACATTCAGAGTAGAACCACTGACACCAGTTGGGAGGCATTTTCCCCCCGAGCACAAAACCCTTCCAAACTCTGCCTCCAGTTTGCAAACGGGGCCCGCCGTGCTTCTCTCCCGGGGGCCCCAACGGCTCAACCAGAGCCTTCTCACGGGCCCTCTTGTGCCGCTGAGAAACTTTTGAGATGGGAAAAACAAATGAAATTAATGTCTTCACGAAGCTCTGCCTCAAATACGCCTGGAACCATGAGCCTTCACGGTGGCGCCAACCCTCTGGAATCTGGACCCGGTAGAGCCGTGCTTGGTCTCCCTCCCTGCATTCAGAAGGGTTCTGAAGACGCCGCCCTACCGAGAGGCCTCCCCGGACGACCCTGCCTGATCTTTATAAATGGTGCATTGTCCTATACTTGGAATGACGCCTCTTGTTGCGTCTGATTTCTTCTGTTGGTTGGCTTTGCTGTCATTTCATGGTTGCAGTGTTTTATTATTTTGCTGCACACACACACACCCAGAATAGTGCTTTGCAATTTCATGGTTGCAGTGTTTAATTATTTTGCTGTACACACACACACACACCCAGAATAGTGCTTTGCACTAATGAAACAGTAAACAAATCTAATAGAGAGACAGACATAAAATGTCTGTCCAGCACACAAAACCCATGGTAGGATGATTCAGAGAAGAAGGCAGGTATAGGATTCCCTCTCCAGACAGATGTTTACTGTGTCTTTCCAAGCCCCAAATGCTGTGCTTTGCTAGTGGCAGGAAGAAAGTTTATTTAGCCTTCACTCCTCCAGTTAGTTCTCTCCAGGAAGAGACACCTTTATTGGTGATAATAAGCAGCAAAAGGGCACCCTGTCCTTTCATCACTGTTCGCTATTTTGTGCGCCCTCAAGGTGATGAATGGGAGAGAGATGACAGACGAAGCGTCTGCTGGCAGCTGGAGTTTCATCGGATTATGCCCCGCAAACACGGAAGCATTTGATGCTGAGAAGCATTGAGTGGGAAGCAGGGAGACCCACCTTTCAAGAGGTACCTGGCACACAGGTGGATGTTGATGCTGGCATGGAGCCCCGAAATGAGTTTGTAGAACGCTCGTTTCTCCACACAGAGGCCTGCCGGGCAGAAACACGTAGAGATTTAAGGAATGGCCGACGACACACACACACCCAGGCGCAGAGTGCAAAGATCCAGTTTAGCAAAGGGCGGTCTTGACGCTTGGAATAAAAGCAGCCAAGAGGAGGACGCCGGAGTAAGTCCCCCGGAGCAAGGCATAGCAAGAAAAAAAAAGAGTTACCTTCAAGCCAGCTGTAGAACAGAGGCCCTGGAGAAAAAGAAAAAGAAACGAGTCAAAAAAAAAAGTTGGAAAGATTTTTTTCCGCAACACACCGCTTCCCATTAAAAATCTCATTTGTTGCCTCTCCGGGGAGAAGCGAGCCATCGGGGGTGACGGAAGGCTCTTTGCCGGCCCTGGACTCCTTGAAAAAAAAATCTTATTTTTCATCCTGAAAGATCTGTTCCTCCCAGTGGCCTTCAAGAATGGTGTGTCTCCTCTTGCTTTAGTCCTGGGAGGGGGCACAGGCTTTTCCACCCCTGGCCCCACATCCAGAAGCAAGTATCAACATGGAGGGTGGGAAGGAAAGATCTCAAAAATACGCCTTTGGGAAAGGTAGGAGTTGTGGGGAGGGGTGTCCAAACTTTGTTCCCCACCCCACTTAAAGAAAAGGTTATGCACTTTGTCTGAAGAAGTGGCGAATTCTTAAGACTAACAACAGGGTGTAATTGTCGTTATTACTGCAACGATTAATGACTTGCCACGACAACAATAACCAGAAACTGCCGGATCACTCAGCGGCGTAGATCTCCAGCTGTGGAGCCAGAGGTTGGGAGCTTGATTCCCGCCGTGCCCCCTAGGCAGGAGCTGGACCCGATGATCTAGAGCAGTGGTTCCCCAACCTTGGGCCCCCAGATGTTCTTGGGCTTCAACTCCCAGAAATCCTGGCCAGCAGAGGTGCTGGTGAAGGCTTCTGGGAGTTGTAGTCCAAGAACATCTGGAGGCCCAAGGTTGGGGACCACTGATTCTAGAGGATCCCTTCCAGGTCTGCTGTCCTAAGGTTATAACAACAATGAGGCATTTTCCAAGAGTCTTCAAGAAGGAAGGCCACCCACCCCTTTGGGCTACCTGTATGGGGATGGGGCTCTCATCATCCTGACGGGTTATTCCAGTTCCGAGCAGCGATCCTACCAGGATGCTCTGGGTTCAGTCTTTAAAACCAAGATGATCTCCTGGGAGGGAGGGAATACCTCCAGCAAGGAGGCAAGCCAGGCAGAACGAGCCAGCGGCTGCAGCCAGCTTGCTTCTCTGTTGTGATCTATGGTGGGAGGCAGTATCACCTTTCAACTTTTGACCTGCAGGGCTGGAAGAGGTCATCTAGTCCAGCCCCTCTCAAGGAAGAGATGAAGTGTGGGGGGGGGGAATCAAACTCCCAACCTCTGGCTCTGCAGCCGGAACACTAAACCCCCAAGAACTAATCCCCATCTATCGAATGCCACCAGTTCGATAGAGGGGGGACCTCAAAGAGGTGGCAGCTGGAAAGATTTTGGTAAAAACATCTTTCGCCAGCAGGAATCTTTTCCGCCAGCCCAACAGCCCCCTACTCCGAGATCGGAGGGATCCAAACACAGAGCCACAGCCACGAGGGCAGCACAGGTTACGCCAAGGTGACCGTCATCCTCGGTCATTTCCATCCGTCCTTAAACTTGAGCAGGTTGGGGTCAGCACAGCTTCAGCCAGCCCACTGCCCTTCGGCCAACTTAGCAAGTTAGTTAGCTGTACGCTAAGAAACTAGTTAGCTGTTACAGAGTTATCCCACAGGGATTGGAAACATACTCACCTTCGTTTTCTCCTGCTCCTGCGAGGCCACAAAAGTAAATACAAAAAAAGCAATCGTGAATAAATAAACTCCAGAAATCAATTATAGCTGCATTCAGTATCGTTTTAGGCCATGTGCTCTACTGCTCCCGTTTAAGTCAGCACTAAAGAGTATTTAAATTATCAAAGCTTGGAAAAGTTACGTTTTTTTCGGCTGTAACTTCCAGAATCCTCCATGTGCCATGGCTAATGGTCAGGCTGCTGGGGGGATTTGGGGAACGGTCATTCCAAAAGACAACTTTTCTAAACTCTGATAGGTATGATCCACTAGCAAGCAAAACCCACCTCCCATGAACTGATATACGTCATACTAATCATCATGGCATTCCTTGTTTTGCTGGGTTGATAACCGACATCCCTAAGGACTAGAAACTTAAACAGCAAATGAAAGCTTACTCCGAAAGAGTTTGTCCATGTGACAGCACTAGCCTGGGTAGCTTTTCGCATATCCTGTGTTCTTGCCGTTTTCATGCAACTGCATTCAACCTTTATTTCGTTTATTGGACATACCGTTCTCTGGAAAGACCATGTCCCTCCACTTTGAGAAGTTAAAGATCCTAATTTCTCTGCAGCAGTTGCTAAATTTGTTTTGCTGCTCTTCAGTCCTCCAAGATAATGAAACCACCTCATGTTATTTAAATATGTTGTGGGTTTTGTTTTTTTGTTTTTGGCTGTGCAAGAGATTTTCATGAGCTTCTAAGGGGGAGAAAAGGAAATTGAATTTTGCTTCCAACCGAATTGTATTCTATCAGTTGTTTTCTCTGCTCTTTCAAAAACTTCAGGTCTTTCCTCTGTTTCTCCCCCCACCCCTGCTTCCTACAGCCTTGCCTCAAATTCCTACATCTGTATTTAGGAAAAAAAAATTAACAGACCTCATTTTATAATTACAGCCACCCAAGCCATGCCTTTTGAACCGAGACAGGAAGGAAAAAACCTACCTCTTCCAGAAGCCAGTGGGTTTAAAGGCCTTTTTATCGACTGAGGCCTACGGAGGAAAGAAAAATATTCCATCCTTAGGTATAAAATACGAAAATGTAGCATATTTCTCATCAGACCTTCCAAGCGGCTGACAAAACAACTTACAACCATTATCCACAAAACTCCAACTCAAACCAGCTGATCACAGACAAAGCATTATAGTTCGCTGGTGTCGTTTCTCAGAAACAAGGAAACAGACCATATATATATTAAAATAGATAAGCAGGCAAACCGTTGACAGGAATTCCCAAGAATGATAGCTGGAGAAAGACAGTGAATCAATGTTGTTTTTTTTTACTTATGCACCTATTTATCTCGAAAGTCATCTCAGAATCTGGCCAAGGCACCTACTTGAAACAGTTCTCTTCGTAAATGCTGTTCCAGATTTTCCAGGCTTCCGGACCCTTGTAGCCCGTGTAACGCTCGGGATTGAGAAGTAAATCAACGTATTCGGCGTCGGGAGAGTGGACATCTAGGACAGGAAGTTTCCAACCCCGTGAGAAAAGGGAAAACACATTCTAGAACGACACTTTAAAGGAAACTTAACTTTTCGGTAAAGGACGTATAATTTTTTTTTTAAATCACATTTCCAAAGTCACAGAACACATTGGAATGATGTGTTTTGGTTTTCACTGATTTAAGGAGTAGCATTTTCTAGGTTCCTTTTTGAATTTTTTTTAAAGGACCCTTTAAGGCACTTTTTGCAATTCTGCTCTAGTTTTATACTACTCTTATTCATTGTAAGCCAACGGGGAAAGAAGTAATTGCTAATACAATTAATGCAAATTATTCTTTCCAGCACTGCTCAAGTGTAACAGCTGTCTGGAAAGCTCAGTGAGGTTATCCGGCTGCAGAGCCCGAGGTTGGGAGTTCAATTCCCCCCACTGGGCCTCCCGGAAGTAGAGCCAGCCTGGGTAGCCTTGGGCCATCTGCACAGTCCCAGGGTGCCCCTAGAGGAAGACAGTGGTAAAGCACTTCTGAGTCTTCTCTATCAAGAAAACTCTGGAAAGGGTCATCAAAAGTCAGAATTGATTTGATGGCACACAGTTATTATTATTAACATGTAGTACCAACGGATTCAGATTTTAAATGAGCAAGGCGAATGAACTGTTTTTAGAAAGTAATTTTGTAAGCTCTAGAACACAGTACGCCAGAGTCTGCTAGCTTTTTCTAGCCCAGAAGCCTGATCGTCGACATCAAGCAAGCAATGACGAACCCACACATGGACTCCATAGCTGCACCATTTTGCTTTGCAAAGGAAGGAAATACTAACATTTCCTTAAGCTAAGAAAGAAAAGGAGGACACATTTCCACTGCATCATGTTCAATACATTAAAATGCAGTAGAGTAGGACTCCCTATCCACGGGATCGTTAACCACTGATTCACTTTTCCACTGCTTGAAAATACAGTTGATGCCTCACTTAGCAATGCCTCACTTAGCGATGCTAATCCGTGCAGAAAAAATCACTGCTAAGCGATAACATCGCTAAGCAAAAATAAAAAGCCCATAGAAACGCATTAAAACACAATTAATGCGTTCCTATGGGCTAAAAACTCACCTTTAAGTGAAGATCCTCCACAGGGGCGGCCATTTTTGGTGCCTCTTAAGCGAGAAAACACAGCAGGTGGCCATTTTGTTTACCCGGCGGACATTTTGAAACCGCCGATCAGCTGTGTGAAAATGGGCGCTTTGCGATCAGCTGTAATGGGCGCTTTGCGATGATCGCTTCCCTGCGATCATCGCAAAGCGAAATTTCCCCATAGGGACCATCGCAAAGCAATCACTTTTGCGATGGCAAAAAGTCCATCGCAAAGCGATTTCATCGCTATACGGAGTGATCGCTATGCGAGGCACCACTGTACTAAGTTTAAAAATAAACTCCATAATGCATATTTATATGTTTTTCCAGGGTGTATTTACCTGAACGGGCCACTAGAGGAAGCCAGAGACTGTGCAAAGTATAGCATGGGTACATCCGTGGTTTTTGTTTGTTTGTTTGTTTGTTTGTTTTTTGGCTTCCACAGGGTGGTTCGGCTTGGAACCCATTCCCCCCTCCTGTTTTTATAAGTGAGCAAGGCAACCCGGAGAACAAACATAGCTGCTTCCGTTATGCCTCGCTTGAGCCTGAGGTGGGGAAAGTGCTTTTTTGAACTACAAGGACCCTAATCCCCCATTACTGGTTGAGAGAACTTGAGAGTTACAGTCTAAAGAAAGGAACGTTTTCAGATTCAGGGTTGCCCACCAAGGGACTCTGAAGACAGTGACCTTGACTGATTTCAGAAGCTAAACAGGGTCTGATCTGTTTAGTTGTTTGGATGAGACAGAGAGAGAGAGAGAAATGCAGATAGCAAAAGAAAC